AGTGGGGGAACTTGCACAATCGGTGGCTGACTAAATACTTTTTTGCCCCACTGTATGTTAACTCACTTACTACATAAGTTATTCTTATGGTCTCATTATGTCAGAATTTATTAAACACTAGTCCTGTGTGATGATTTCATTTTATAGCACCTTTCATGCCCTAAATGCAAATAGGCGGCCACTCACTGCTTCTTCTTTCTACCCCTATTTAGCATTTAGCGAGAGCAGCCTGAAACAATGCAGCCATTAGGAAGTGATTAGGGCCCAATTAGATGTGCTAGTAGTTAGCAATCAGCAAAGTGGGTCAGGTTGCTAATAGCTGGCTTCCAATTGGTAGCGGCTGAATGAGAGGGGGACCTGCTATGATTACGGGGACTGCAAAAAGAATAAAGGGGATTGACACTGCAGGTTTGAGATGAGTGGGGCTTTGATATCGGCCAGCAGGAGGGTCGGTACTGTCCAAGAATGGGGTCAGCTCGGATTTTTGTTGGGAAAAAAAAAGAAAAAAAAAAAAAGAAAGGAAAGGCTCTGGACAACGGGTCAGCTGATCACTGACAAGATTGGACCCAGTGACCGGGGCTTACACGCTCCAGTTAGGTTGTCAGGGGTGAATCTTCAACGGGTTGGGTCAGACGTGACACTAGCGTGATGAACTTAGACACTGTTGCAACACAATCTCAACTTAAAAGAAGCTTGGGACCCAATTCCTGGAAAGGCTGTTGAAATTAAAAACATAAATCAGTCACACGCAAAATAAATACTAGTGAAAGAATAAAGAGTTTCCTCTATGAATAAAAATCAAAACTGCCACTTGTATACTTAATGAAGTGACCACAAGAGGGTGTAAAGACCTCATCCTCTGTCACACCTACACAGCTTTCCATTAATCTAGAAATGTCTGCAAATGTCAGCTTCATGTGTAAGCGAACGCTGATGACTTTTGTGTTCTGTATGCATCACTTTCAATTGGTCCAAATCTGAACCAATCATGATAAATTAACAGGCAGACGTGCAAATTATGTTGTTCTCATGTAGCAGTGGAGTTTTTGCACTTGAGGAAGCAGTTTCACCTCAAAAATAATCACATAATTGTTTTAACGTGGGCCACTGACCCTATGACCCCTGTGTAGCCTCCGGCCAAGTCCAGGAATTAAATCTTCTCATTGCCGTTCCTTTACTGTTCTGGCTGAGCTGACTACTTGAGGAAACATGTTGAAAGAATTTGAGTACTCATGGCTTAACTGCTTAATTACTGCAAGCATTGGTGGTTAAAATAAAAAGCAGAAAATGACAGAAGAGCACAGCCCAAAGGGACAAGGATCACAGACCACCCTCCTACTTCCTGTCTGCCAAAAAAATCTGCCTCGGTCTCTACAAGTCTGTTTCTGTGTCAGCATCTTGATTACATCAAATAATTTCGGGAATGAGCTGAAATGGTAATTTTCAAATTCAGTTTTTATTTCATGGAGTGCCACACTCATGTCTGTGTGTGTATATATTAGAATTCAATTTACCTGCCTCAAGGTGCGTTATATTGTAAGGCAAGGCAAGTTTATTTATATAGCACAATTCCACAGCAAGGTGATTCAAAGTGCTTTACAGAGACATTAAAAAACAAAAACAAATAAAAAGCATGATTTAAAATGCATGCGCAGTACCTTTGTTTTCATACACACATGGTGGAAAAAGCATGGCGGCGACAGAGAATGAGAAGGGCGAAAGCGGATCGTTGTATGAAACAGATTAACTAGAATTGGTTTGTCAAAATGGTGCAACTTCAGTGGTGTGGAACTGGTTTGGCTTTCGTCCATCAGATACACACCAAAGCACATTTTTTGGTAGAGCAAGCAAGCGGGCTGTTTTTATTACCACTATTACCGAACTGATTTTATGTGGTACACGGCACTCAAAAATCTGTCAAAAAATCTTTTAGTACGACTTTGCTAAAGTACGAAAGCCACACCGCTTGATGGATTGTCGGAGCATTACGGCTACCGTAGTCAGGAGTCTCACGGCGTGATACGTACTGTGCTACATTGTATATGTATAATTTGCATTTGCACTGTAAAATTTTTATATAACTTTAATGCACATAAAAAACAGCTGCTTGTTTAAGTGAAAATACATTGATGGGGTTTTTTGCACTAATAAAGTTGTGGAGTTGTAAAGTGTTTTGTCTCGCGTCAATTATATTGTCAGTTACATCGTTATCGGAAATTTTCAAATATATATCGTGATAAATATTTTTGGCCATATTGCCCTGACCTAGTAAAGACCCTACAATAATCCAGAGAAGCCCCAACAATCAGATGAGCCCCAGGCAGGCCCCTAGGAGCAAGCACTTGAGCCACCTGATCTAGGTGTGTTCTGCTAAGCATCTATAAACAGTGAAATCACTGAGCCTATGACAATGCACAGTCCGCATGGATGTAAGATAGATTTCATGCACAAAATGTATAAAAGTGTACATCAGCTAACAATGTTTAGACATCACAAACCCTCCTTGCTCCTTGCGGTTGCCCTGATAACAAGACATTAAGCTCTCAATCAGTCAACAACCATATTGCTGACCTGAAAATGTCACACTTATGCACAAGTTACCCTCACATGTAGCCAGAGTAAAACCATCTTTGTGCTGAACCAAACCTGCGGTGTCAGTTCTCCCTGACTGGTTAGATTTATTCAATGCACTGACACCTTCAGAGACATTTAATATGTAAAAATCTGGCACAGAGTTTGAGGCTGAAGGTGTTTGGCTGCTCATCGTGTTCACATTTGAGAAGCCTGCTCTCTCTTGCTCCTCAGTCATTGTGCTCAAAAAAGTGAGAGCGACAGCTGGCTTTTGTGTGGTTACTGAAACTTTTTAAAGTTTCTCCACATGAATACACTCAAACAGTGATGCTACAGCTCATCAGCAGGCTATTCATTCAGCAGAGGCACCAGCCACATATACAACACACAATCCAAGAGACACATGGGCAACAGAAACACACACATACAGAAACACACAACCATAGGTGTCCCACACTCTTTCTGTCTCTCTGCTATGTGTCACTCGGCGAACACCCAGACACTGTCACCTTATATTAAGGCACTTGTGTTTACTTATTGTACAGCCATCCAGTAACATTATTCTATTTTGGCATCAGAGCCTTTGACACAGACCAGATCTGGCCTCTGAAAAGAAGCTGCAGGTGTTTCTGTAACTATCTGAACCTCGAGGAGCAACGTCTTACAATAAGCACAAATAACTTCATGTGTAGTATACTTACTAGCAGCTTTTAGTTCAATGACCAATTGGTAAGAAGAGGAAAGGTAATCTACATCAATTTCACATTAAAGGAGCAAGAAATTGGCTTATTAAACAGTAGGAAAACCCTTTTCTTTCTGCGCTATTGAAAAGAAATACATTTTAGGCAGCAACAATCAAAGATTCAATGCAAAACTCAAATTCTTCCTCTGTAACTCTAGCCTATTAGACGTAATCGACAAGTGAAAGATGACAAACCTCACTGGTGCTGCAGACATCCAGGACATCAGAGAAAGAAGTAGAGGAGAGGAAGAGATGGATGAGAGATCAGGGAAGAGTTCTAAACCATGGCCACAGATCTAGAGTGGGTAGGAGGGGAGGAGGAGTGTGGTGGGTCCTCCAGCAGGAGGAGGGGCTTAGCAACAACAGGCCAAGAGGAACCTGGAAGGGGGTTGACCAGTATTTCTCATGCTACCTGCTGACAATCATATGGCCTGCTGCCCCAAACACACAAACCTAGAAAGACATGCAAGCTCGTGCTTTTTCTGGTTTCAGTGCACATTTATTTCACCCAGAGTATGCTGCAAATAGCTTATATCTGGCATCAGCCGACGCATCTATGCTTCAGACTCAGAGCTTCATATATCAGCTGTCAGGATACCAGCTGAGCATTAAGAGCCAATTGTTTTCATGCAAATTATCACAGCTACTTCACACATCTTGCAGTTACTTTTACTTTCAAGTCAATGCTGTGCGCTAACGTAGCTCCCCCCGATCATCCTGACCTCCCTGTATCTGATGATTTTTATAAAATCTAATCTTCACGTGCTTTTTCATTAGCTGGATTGTGCCTTCTAGCAGAATTGCAGTTGGTGCTCAAGTCCCTTTGAAGATGCCTAAAAAAAACGACACTCTTTCCACCAAATCCAACTATTTGGAAATACTTCCAATAAAGTCATTGACAAATGTGTCTACTGGAAATCCCACTATGAGCACTAATAGGATTTCATGTTATGAAGTGTATTTAATCAACAAATTTAAGGACATTTCCCCAAAATTCTGCCGATTTTTTTTTCCAAATCATGGTAATTTTATACTCACACAAACCAACAAATCTCCCTGCAGTCTACACTAATAAACTCACTCATCTCGAATGGAGCCGAGCATCAGAATAAATGCCCCACAGTGCTTCTCACAGCGTTGGTCCCAGTTAATTTGTGACTGTTTAAACAGACAACAGTCCCTCTCCAGCTCCCTCTCTCTCTCTCACACACACACACTTTTTTTTCTCCCCTTACTCTTCTGCCCTGTCTTTCTCTGGGCAGTCAGAATTCTCTGTCTAATGCAGGGTAATGAGTTTAGACTGTGAACACTAACAAAGTCTATATAAAGCTCTGGCCCATTGAGTGGTGACAGAAACTATTTCCACACTGGTCTAACCAAACGTACTGCCAAACACCCAGAGTTTGTAAGCTTCAGAACAGTGTAGAGCGGTTAAATTGGGTCAGAGCACCGTGGAAGAATATGGTGTGAATACAGTTCTGACTCCAAAGGAAAATTATCACAGTGAACAGCTTTGTTCTTGGATCTACTAAACTCCCACACTGCTTGTACTTTCCCACATTGTTTGAATTACAGTGTTCAACATAACCGCTTAATCTTAAAAGAATCAGGTGGGAGGAGGTATTCCAGGTGTCCAGAGATCTTCATGTCCATCCATATTCTTCACAGTAGCACTCCATGCAATGCTGAGAGGATCTGATTGGGGCATTGTCCACTGTTTCTCTTTCTCACATAACAAAAGAAGACAAAAGAAGACAGTCCCCATCAAATGGGGTCCCACTAGTGGAAACACTCCATCTGGATTAGGCAAGAACGTAGGCCTCATGAGTGGAGGACACATGACACTGTTTTGCCTAGAATACCTGCACTGTTCTTCAGACCTTCATATATTAAATGTGTCCTGAAAAACACATTTTTGGATGTTATCGTGTAGCAAACATACACCTCACATGTGTTATGATTTTGTAAAAAAAAAAAAAAGTTTTAAAAAAAACAAACAAACAAAAACCAAAAACACACTGAAAAAACTGAAGTTGACATAAAGTGATGATGAGCTGGTCCTGATGTTCCTAAATAAGAAAAGGCACAATGATTTACGAAGAGCAACTGAACTTTGTTTGCCAACGTTCTCATTCAGAACTTTTTTTCTCTAAAATAATACTTGGATCCATCCCTTCAGTCAACTCTTTTTAGCTCAGTGCTGCAGCTGTTTGGGGGGGGAGGGGTTAGGTGCTGGAGCGGAGCCCAACTGTGATAGGACAAAAGCCGAGGCACACCCTGACTGGGTCGCCAGTCTATCGCAGGGCCATCACAAAGAGACAGACAACTATTCACACTGTTACATTCACAGCGTCTGCGACTGTGGGAGGAATCCAGAGAACCCATACAGAACCCACACAGTCACAGAGAACATGTAACCTCCACACCACCCAACTGACTGGTCCATTCAAAGCCAGGACCTTCTTGTGCTGAGGCGAACACCTCTCGCAAGTCCTAAAGGGTTCACTGTGCTGTTGCACTTGAGTTGTGCAGGTTGGAAAAAGGTAGAGAGCAGTGCTCTAAATGGTCCACACTTTGAGTGACCTTTCCATTTGTGAGGATGAATACAGTCTGTGCAAATGGAGGTCACAATGACATTTAACTCATATTACATGAAACCACACATTAAGAGTAATGGGACAGAGTTTCAAAGACACGTTTCCTTAAAGACACTGCACAGGTCAGCCTGAGATTCAATTCAGCATCAACAACAGCAAACTGAGAACAACCTCCACCTCCTTTAAAAATGCAACAATAATGTTCAGAATGATTCCAAAGGTGGTGAGCATGTAGTCATTATGTGATTCTGGATTTTATGCTCATCAGTTCTTTGTTGCTGTTCTCTTTAAAAGACACAGTTGTTTCTGTGCTGCACTGCGTGCTGAGGGCCAAGCATTACTGGCATGGTTTTTAATCCTCTATTAGCCTCAAAGCAGCACAGCTAACTTGCATTTTCCCCACAAAAACAAAAAAGCACCCAAAGGATTCACCATAAAATCATCCTAAACACAGCATTAAGACTTTTTACAGCTGCAAGGCTACTGCCTGTCCTCTAATTTTACTTTCTCTTCCTCTAAACTTGCACACATGTCATGATGACATGCTAACGGAATTTGCCAACATCCAAGATTCAACCTGAAGATGTCAGTGTGCACCCATTTGTATCTGTATCTCTGGCTTACCTTTGTTCAGGTGTGAGTTGGCTTTGGTTTTGTCACTGAAGCCCTGGCTCCGTCTGTTCCCAGCAGCACTGACCGACCCTCTCGGTGGGATGTCACTGCCAGCAGTGGACACCCTTGTTGTGGGGCCAGGAAGTCTGATGAATAGATAGAAGAAAAAAGGAAGAAAGCAAGGGAGAAAAAAGAGGGAATAAACAGGCCAAAAAAGTTAGCTGCTTTATGACAAACACGAGTTTATGAATCTAAAGCAGTTTTATTTTCCCCCACACATTACAGAGACACATTAGGTCACTGCAAGCCTATAACACAAGCACAACAGACTGTAAACTAAGATGGGAGGGTATAACATAATTAGATTTATTAGACCAAGCATTTTATGTGATTAAACCAAACACATTAGAAGGGTAAGTGGCAGTTGTAGAACAAATCACATTTCTGAAAGAGAAAACCACATTCTGCAAATACCAAAATATCCTAGTAGCATACATCTTCTGTTTGTTTTGAAACTAGTGATAAAATTAATATAGTTTCAAAACTAAATTAAGTATAGTTAATAGTTTAAAAAAGGAAAGTGCTACACAAACATGCTTCACTGTTTAGGGGAGTGCAATTTGCCACAAAGGATGAGCTTTAAAAAGAAATCTGCACTAGCGTGCTTTGTTTTCTATACCGTGCCTCTGTGATGATGTGCACTGAAGCTGATGTACCACCCTCAATAGGCTGTAGAGGACCTCAACATCCACAGTTAATTTGTAATATGAACTTGTTGACCTACTGTATTGATTTCCTGGGGGAAGTGGTCTCTGTTTGTTTTCCAGAAGGTCAAATATACCTCAACCTCATTGCTACACTAACCACAATAGGACTGCCCTCCTCTTCATGTCTTTCTAAATGCTTCACACTATTTTAGGCTCCTTTCTAACAAGGCATTTTTCCAAACTTGTTCAAGGTTCAAGGTTCACTTGTTCCTGACATGCGTAGTTTTCTATTTAAAATTGCAGCTTTAGTTTTAAACTTAGCTTTTGTTTGCTTTTCTTGCAGCGTTGCGGCGACCCACCCCCAGGGTACACCTACACCAGGCTAATGGAGACAGATAAGCTTGCAGCAGAGTGGACAGTCAGACTGAGAGCAGGTCCTGGGAGAACTATGAGCTCAGATTACATGTGCTCCTCCTTATTTTCCCCACATGGATTAGACTGTAGACAAGCTTTGGTGGAAGTTATGACACCTTGATTTCATTTTGCAAGCCAATCTATAAGGCGAGTTGGAATCTAACAGGCTGTGGCACACAGCTGCTAATGAAATGCTAATTGACCATTGGCGACATCATCACCATCTTGGGACTGAGGCGGATACTTGATAAGCAGATTATAGCACTCTCACTCAGCTCTCGTGTGCATTATAGAAACTCTCATTTCCGTCTTGCCATTCACTTTGAGTGACCACTATTTATCCAGCTGTTGCAAGGTAATAGCTTTAACAACATTATTTAGGCTAGAGTAGTCTAAAATCATTTCAATTATAGCAGGGCCAGCAAGTCTACTACCTTCCCCCACTGGACTGAGTCTGTCAGGAAGTAATTCAATCTAGTGGTTACATTAAAAAAAAACTAAAAAAAAAACGAGCAACACTTTTTTCTTAAATTTTAATTTTAATATGGGCTATAGTGTGAAAAGAAATTCCAGAATAAATCTACTTCGCAAATCTTTCTCTTTCTACACTCTTAAAAGTGCAATGCAGACAAAGAAAAGTACTTAAATATTTCTCAAAATGAAGTACTAGTGCTAACAGCACATCATTACTTGGATACAACCAACTTACCAAAAGAAAACCCTTTAAAAAACAGTCTACTTACACTAAATTGTACAGCAATTCTTCTCTTCACTTAGATTCTTTCACACTCATTATGTTCAAAAGCACCATGTTTTGCTGTTAACTCAGTATGTTAACACTGAGTTAACAATAATTTTTAGTCCAAAACAAAGAAAAATAGACCTTTCACCGCAATATTAGCAGCTAGCATTAATATAAACAATTCACATTGTTAAAATCTTTTAAAATTCGCTATCAGATGCTGCCAGAGAGTCATTTTAATCTTAATTAAGATCAATCAATTTAAAAAAAAAAAAGAGTTTAAAAAGTGTTTTGATAAATGATGTAGAATAATTGTAGTTGCACATGCTGACCAAAAGAGGGGGGTATTTCTTTAGTTTGGTCAGGTGCTGTATCCAGGCAGGTGCAATGTAAACATATTCTGGGATGGGGCAGCATGCAAAACTAAATGGTACACTAAATTTCAAGGTGCGTTATCACATCATATGATGCTGCATGCTATAAGGAGGCTAATGTAACTGAAAAAGAAAAAAAAGTAAGACCAAAGATAAATATAACATGTCTCATTACAGACCTGCCACAGATTCCTCTGTGTTAATTATTAATGTCATATTATATGGGGGATTGCAGGAGCACACACGCGCACACACACAAGCACGCACACATTTACTTAAGGGTTATCTAAAGGTCTTCTACAGCCCATTAAGCAGGCCTGCCAAATGAGGCACGCTGCCAGAGAGACAGGGCCTTCTGAAAATGGAGCCTGGAGCTTTTGTTCCTATCTGCTCCAACACTACCACTCATGCATAATAGATCGTGCTTGTAGTAGAGATTGCCCTTAATCACAGACAAAGAAACAACATTAAACTCATTACAGCGCGAAAGAAATGCTATCCTTGATTAGGGGCAATCTCAACCTATTTCCAGGAATGGAACGGAATAGGAGGTGTGGTGGAGGAAAGAAGGGAAGGAGAAAGAAATTAGAAAGGCACAAGAGCTGACCTAGAGGTCTTTTTCTGACCAAGGGAAAACTTGAGTAGTTTACTTTGACACCCATCCCTAGAGGAGAAGAAAAGAGAGGAAAGATATGGAAGAGGACAGAGACAGTGAGAGGTCAGGTTTAGAGTTATAAATGACAAAAAGTACGAACAGGAAGATAGAAATGTCAAAATGATGGATTACAACAGCAGGCACGTGAAGAAAGTAAACACCACAGGGACACATTTGTTCACTCCAGTTAGCCTCACCTGGACTGCATCTCGGCCTGCGCTGCTTTCTGGGATGTGATGGCAGGAGTCCCATGCAGAGAGTGGCTGAGCTGGGCCGGGGCGCTGATCTGCTGACTCAGTGGAGGGTGTGTGCTCTGGGACTGGGCAGCAAGTGGGAGGGTGGGCTGGGAGTTTTGCCGCTGGGCCTGCTGCTGCTGCTGTTTGTAGCGGGACAAGCTGAAGAAGAGGCCAAGGATGGCTTTCAGATTGCCATTCCGAATCTCTGAAGGTCAGAAACAAGGATGGGGTGAATGATTTAAAAGGAGAAAAGTAGAAAAAAAAAGTGGGGAGATGAAAACAAAATAGAGGATGAAGTTTGCAACAATTTTTCACATTTACCATACTAGTGCTTGGAAAATAAGCTACTAGGGTTTTTTTTTAATGATTTCATTGCATTTTGATTGTTTTCCTATATGGATATCATCTCTCTTGCTTATCAAACCATATATTCTATTCTATTGTAGATAGTGAAAAACAGCAACATTTTTGTAATTTAATTGTTTATCTAGTATTTCATTACTTTAGTGTAGCATGAATCAGTAGCTGTATAAAGCTGTACAATGCATTAATCCATTTAAAAGTCCAAATTTATCCCCTCCTTTCTAAAGTTGTCCAGTGAGAAACATTGGCACATCTTTGCCAGCCCGATTCTGGGCCCTGGGCCTTATTTAGATGATCAGCCCCATCTGAAACTGACATTTCAAATATGTCACACTCTGTTTAATTCCTCTATCTAATTCTGCTGCCTTTAGCTCTCCTTCTGGATTGTTCTTGAACTGCAAGATGATACACCTCAAAGTTCTCCTAACAGAACAGTGAATGGACCCCATGTGTTTCTTGCTGTAATAGGATGCTGCTGTTTGATTCAGCTTTGCATTAGCACCAGTAATAATATTGTCTCTCAGTTCCCTGTGTGAATTTCTTTCTTTTTTTTTTGACAACAGCTACATTTAAACATCATTATGTACCATTGTAAGCTTTCTGGTACATTAGTTATATGTGTTGTGAAATCAGCCCTGAATGTTTTCATTTGCATTAATACAGAGTTTCCTGGAGAGAGCTTGCTAATAAATTTTTTTTTTTTTAAAAATCAGTGTACCAATTCTGAGGTTTTATCTTTCTCGCGGCATCAGTTCTATTTAGTAACTAAGCCTGAGCTTGATTCAGGATGAACTCTCATGTTCCATGTGAAAGAATAAATCTGTGGTTCCAGCTTACCTTCTGCAGACAGACCCTGGATGTTGACTCCTTTGGCTGCCAGGAAACTGAGGCAGGCATCTATGTTTTCAATCTACAGAGAGAGAGAGTCAGAGCTGCATGATTCTTCATACTGTACATTTACATTAAAATTTGCATCATGGTGAAATATGAGCACCCACACTGATTAGCTTTTTGCATGGCTCTCACAACAATAACAAATCTGGGGGAGTCAACATAAGGCAAAGGTTGGCATCACAACATCTTAAGCAGTAAATAGAGGTGCTGAATATCAACGACAATGATAGAACTGTTGGGACTGCAGATCGTTTATCATTTAATAATCACTGATCTGACAGGTAGGATGACTCCAAAAACAGTTAAGATGGAAAATAAGCTTTTTTTGATCATTCAATAATGTGTTGTATCCAACTTCAGATTCATGCAAAAAAGTCATCATGACAATTTTTTGGCAAGTTTTATGTGATGAGACCTGAGTGTTAAGTGTTTGCACGGCACTGGATTTAAAGGCGTTTTGTGGCATTTGGGATATCAGCATTTATAACAAACAAATGGCACTAAAACAACAAATTTCTGGCACATATAAAAGTATGAACTGGTGCTGAAGAGTAGAAGAGAGAGTCTGTATGTACAGAGATTGCTGTGCTATACTAGAGAAGTAAATTGGACCACATAGTGACATAGCCAAAGCAGAATTCAAACCAGCCACACTTACATCACTTGATCTTTGAGGAAGCAAACATCTATAGTCACTCAGTTGCTATGACAGCAGCCATGGCAACCTGAGCAGACTGCTGAGCTGTCACTGGACTGTGAGAGGATTTGATAGGCAGACAGGCTTTGTTTAGAGACCATGTGACCCATTATACACAGAATCTGCTGGCTGGCGCACCTTATCGTAAGGTAAACCACATAAAACAAGTCATTAAGCAGGGTAGATCTGATGAATGACTGTGCGATCAAAGTGTACCAACTGTTGTTGTTGGTGGGGAGCAAACAAACAGGGTACAACAAAAGATATATCAGTATTATACAGTCATTGATCTCTCATATTACACACAGAGTTACTAGCTGTGTAGAAGTCTCTGCAGAGCAACTAATCAACAATAAAAACTGTTTGAGAAGTGGAAATTTTAAACTGTACACAAAGGTTAGGGAGGGGCCGAATCTTTTCAGAATGCTATTTATTCACAGAGTAGATTTCTAATGCACTGAGCCTAATCTGCAACACTGCAACAATATATTGACAAAAAATCTTCAATAGAACTTTACAGCAGAGGGTGGGAGCACAGATACACAGCAATGATACCGCAAGTGGTTTCAAACCTAAATACATATGAACTGTGTTCTTTGTAAATGAGCCTGGGTGTGGGCTGCAAACAGAAGGGTCCTGTACAGTAATGATTAATGACATGATTACACTTAATATGCACCAACTAAATATAACCTGAACTACAGCTCCCACTGTGCTTCTCCTGCTAGGAAGTCTCCGGCTATGAGGTGACGAACTCATTTACATCTGCCTTTGTAAAAATATAAAAATGTCTGACAGCAAATGTTGTAGGTAAATCCATGAGTGCACTACTAAACCACAGAAGCCACAGAATTACTACTAAGTTTGCTGCCATCCTGTACTATGTCACATTTAGTTACATCCACCAGCAGTTGGAGGTACATGTTACAAAGTAACTTGTTTGAATACTTGGATTCCCTTTTGTGGTGTACTTCACTTCTTTTCCTTCCTTCTCTTGTGTTTTACGCAGTGCAATAGTGTAGCTCAGATAGCAAAGATGGTGTAGAGGACAGCATTTACGTCATTAAAGTTTCAGCATTACACTCAATTTGCATGTGAACAAGGGCAACATCATCAAGGTGGAATGTCCAGGCTACTGTAATTGTCAGTCAGCAGCAAAAAACTTGAGCAGGAAGTACTCCTTGCTGAAGGACTTGCTAGCACTCCTTTATCAGTCAACCCCACAGTCATACTGCTCTTAGAGCCACATTATTAGTTATTAGCAGATAGACTTGCTACTATGATACTATGAATTTCACAATAATATTACAACCTCTAACAGAATATTGGATGTATTATTTCAATAATACTGGCTTGATAACAATTTCTTCATTGCTTTCAGTGTTTGAAACAAGCTCCAAAAATATCTGAGCCATGCCAGTGTGTGAAGAGTTCATCTGACTTCAGGTCATCGGCTGAACTGAAAATGCACCACTGCCCCTGCTGTCATTTCCATGACCTCTGACCTGGGAAACAGCTGTTAGCAGGCCTGGCACATGCTGTCCTTCAACGTAGGACAGCAGTAAACTAAGGAACAGTAGGAATGCAGGTTATGGTCCTCTCTGAATACTGCCGGGTCCTTAAAAATAAACTTGTTGAAAACCTTCTTTAATACCTTGGGCCTAAACTTGTAAGCAGCCTTTTATAGTTGAAGCTTAAATAGCAGTAACCCTCAGAATGTATACTTCAGTGAGACACCCCGTCATAAGTGTCATGGTCAGGGTAAATATATGCTGAAACCTCTACTGCTATTTAAAACGTGTAGGAAAAACAGTTTAGTAAAGCCGGCGGAACATCAGCTGTAGCCTGAAATCCTACTCAGACCACTAAATATATGTTCTAATTACTGTATATCACTGATTAGTCCATTCAGAATATTTAATGAGTTAGAATCGGATCAAAGGTTGTAACACTTGTAAGGCAGAGTGTTCCAATGTCATAGAAGTTAAACTTAGTTTAAGGCTGGCCAGGAATCTAAATACTACATGATCATCCAGCTTAAAAGAAAATGTCTGAAACAGCATTGGTTAAAGGATGACTGATATGGATGATCACGTTAGTACTGTTGACTGGATTAGCAAAACGTTGCCAACAACAGGAAAGAGGAATGCAATGTCTGTGTCTGTCACCACTTTATTTTTTGGGTCACTGCTCTCATGAATCTGCTCTGTGCAAACTTTGTACCAAGATAACCGGCTGATAAATGATTGCAGACACACTGAAGTGAAAGGAAAAGTGTATACGAAGCGCCCACGCTGCCAAAGGGCAGTAAGCTATAGCCTCAAAATTTAATATGGTACAGAAGAGAATCTACTGACAACCAGAAAACCCCCCACCTCTAAACAAGAAAGCGTTCACTGTCAGCATAAGACAACAAATCTGCAGGGAAGCCCCATACCTGCCTGAAGGTGTGACATGTTCCTGCAGTTTGCCTCTGCCCAGCTTCACACCTCGATCCGAGCCACTGTCACCTCTCTGCTCTGCTCGGCTCCTGGCAGCGTTAGTGCAGGGCTAGCCGGCCAACAGTGCTCTGAACAAACATTTCCTCCCATCACAGGGCTGCTATTGTGTGTGTGTGTGTGAGTGTGTGTGTGTGAGTGACTGAGAGAGCAAGAGAGAGAGAGAGAGAGAGAGAGAGAGGGGAAGGAGTATGCTTGAGCAAGAGTATTATGAGTGTGAAGAAGGATTTCACCGACAAGCAGCAAAATGGCTCTTACATTTACTGTTTTCATGTCAGTCTTCCAGTCAGAATAAAAGCAGAGCACCAGCAGATCAGAGTGACCAAAACTAGGCTATAAGATTTAACCAGATTGATGTACTACAATAAATGTGAGAACTGCAAGACTGACACCTGCCTTCTGATGAGGATTATAGTTTACCACAATTTGAGTCTTGCTTCTGCGTTTACCTGTATGCTTTTCTATTCGCGGGGATCTGGGAACAAAGCACAACATCACTACAGCAAACTGTGAGACCGTAAGCTGTTCAAGCTGTGGTTTCGTCTGAAACACTTCATCACTTCATTTGGAAGTAAAACAGAAATTATGAGCATCAAAATCCCGATACAATAAAATATCCTACTTTACCCCTAACTATGAACGGTCGAAGTTAATTCAGAAGCTGGTCTGTTTGGGTACATTACAGTTTCCCACTAAAAGAAAAAAAATGTAACAAAATGAAATCACATATTTTTTTGCAAAACAGCAGTTAACAAATTACATTTTTCTGCTTCAATGAGGCAGGAACCTTTTTTTGGCTGAAATGTTATATTTTAGAGAAACACCTTATTGGCTTGATGCATTGGACCTTTTTCCTATGATGTGACGACACGAGCTTAGTTTCCGGACAGCTCTGTGTCATTTGACCTTTTGACTGTTGGTTCTTGTAGAGTCTGGCTGGTTAAGACTGTGAGCCAACACGTTGCGTCAGCATGTGTGTGTATCTGTGCGTTGTTAAATCCATCAGTGTGTGCCCTCGCACTCACGCACACCCACACACACACACACACACACACACACACACACACACACACACACACACACACACACACACACACACCGAACACACACACACACCTACACACACACACACACACACACACACACACACACACACACACACACACAGACACACGCATCTAGCCACCCACTTGCAGAACTTTGACACGTACCTGAGTAATTCTTTCTATTCTGACAGAAAACCACGTACGCTCACGTTTTTAACAGAAATGTTCTGGCGCAGCAGCAGCATGAATAGACACACCATGATGCAACTTCACACACGTCGGTGTAACAGGGAGCACACTGAGCCCTCTTCCATCTGAAAATTCATTTTTACATACTCACTGTTGTGTTTGAGAGTTGAGGCAGTCATATCAGGATATCTGTGCTATTGTAAGTTGACTGTTATGTTTTAATTGTTCCTTTGAAACGGTTTTGATTCAGGCTAACATCGGCTTGCACCCACACAAACTGAAATTGCCCCAGGCTTTCATCTTAAAAGGCCACATTTTTCAAAGTTTAAATGTTCCTGGGAAAAAAAGCCATTAAAAACTGCTGTGTCATATCTCCCATGAATAGACTAATTGTTAAGCCACAAATGAACACAGTGTATATACAAAGGTTGGACAATATAATACAAATACCTTGTGGAACATTACAAGATTACCTCTCTATCACAGCACCAGAAAAAAGTGTTAATATTATATGGAGGCAGTTTTGATTGAGAACAGTTGAACTGAACTGCATTATTCAGGGTAACGTCGCTCTTATTTTATCCCACCGCTATAGGTGCTCTTTCTTTTGCAGCCCACGGGTCAGCAGAAGTCATGTGGAAGACACAACATCTCCAGGGTGAATAAGCCTGTGCCGGCTGAAAAATATTATTTGGCTTCTGGTATATTTGGTATCTTAGCAACAGCAACTCTGATTGCTCATTCTCTCCAATCCACCATGTGATCACCTGAGCTCTGACCAGCTGACACACTCGGGGATTTCTCTCTCAAACGCACACAGAAAGTGTAACGCCTTATGATCAAACATTAACCAGCCTGTTTAAGCATTAATCCAACACCTTCTGGTTCTTGCCCTGTGTACCTGTGTAAAGCTCCACCAGCTAAAACATCAAAAATAAGCATCCATGGACACACCAGCACAATTCTGTGTACATTTTTAGATTGAATAAAACATAATAAAGACACTGCAGGGTAAGGTGCTTTCTCACCTGCTACAATCCAATCTTAAACCACACCTGAAGGTGAAACACGCAGTGAATTATAAAGAAAAACTCAATTGTGCAAACAGTTGAGCACATAAACATTCATTCTATGCTTCATCAAGTCCATTAAACACCTGGTCCTGCTGGTTTCTAACCACCTGTGTGGCTGTCTGCCAGTCTACTTCCTCAATTCACCCTCTTTATTTTATGGCTGATTGGTGAGAACCAATCAGTCCAGCACACAGAGTAAGAAGAACAGAGGGACGGGGGGAAATGAACAGCTCCCTAAAAGATAAAATCAAGACAAAGCCTTTCACAGCACAATCACACCTTCACTCCCTCTGTGTTCACATCTTGGACACATCATGTGGATGCCATGGGTTTATCTGTGTTTTGAAACCTTTCAACGGGGGGGGGGGGGGGGGGGGGGGGGGGGGGGCCCATTGTCTGTGGCTTCAAAAGAGCAAAGAATGAGTCTGTGTGTCTCACGGATTAGCATGACGCTGCAGGGGAAGCGGAACTAAACACACGGAACATGGAAACACGAGACTTTCACAATAAAACAGGAAACGGTGGAACATGAAGGGGAAACAGAATGAAACACGAGGAGGGAAACAAAACCTCACACCACAGAGACACACAGACAGAGACACACACACACACACACACACACACACACACACACACACACACACACACACACACACACACACACACACACACAGACTGACTGGGTGGCAAAGGGATGATCTGCCAGTGGGGTTTCTTTCAACAAGAATGTGACAGTTACAGAAACAGGCACTTGTGCGGATAGGCAGCAGGTGAGTGAGGTGAATGCACTACAGTTTATCCCACTGATGGAGCTTATTTTCAGTTTTATTCATTCAGAAGCCGAGCTTGAGTCAAGCACTAGTGAAGGGCAGCAATTTTTTTTCAACAATGAAATCAAGTGTGGTTAAAAAAAAGAGCTCTCTCACTCCTCTAAACACTCTTCTGCTAAATAAACTCTCAGAACCTCTGTGTGTGTTTGTTTTGACAGCACTACAATACACAAAGCAGACATTCTGCATAATTGCTGCGGTTGTGCCTACCCTTAGCGCTGTTTGAATGCTTCAGATTCGGTTCTAAAGCTGACACAAATACTGAGACTATACACAGAGAATCAATCACATTCACATACATAGACAAACATGCGCACATACTGCAACATCTGCGGGTCTGCGTGCAAAGTTAAAGCGAGATTTTGACAACTGCTTTCCATTAAACAATTCCCACTGACTGAATGAACACTATAAAAACAGAGAAACAAACCATTTCCTTTGACGCAAACAGAGTCTATGAAGAATCACAACACCGTAAAAGATACACCATCCATTTGGAACCACTTGTTCTGTCTCAGAGGTAAGCTACAATCCTCTCGCTTTGCAAAAGAAAAAGCTGCTGTGTCACATGAGCTGGATGTGAAAGAGCTCTAAACAGGATGTTGATAAGAAACCCACAGAGACGTCCAGACCATGGAGACCAAAATTTCAAGATGCTCAGTTACAGGAGAACTGGGGGTGTAATCACGGCTAATGGGAAAGACCTAACTGACAGCGAAGTGGAGATGGAGTCGAGACCATTTTCAGTGGGAGTTAATAAATGTTTTCAAACGCTTGTAAAAATGTAAAAAGTTTGTATACTCTGTATTGGTGTTGTTCCTATAATGCTTGTCCAGGATAAACACTGCAACAAACAATGTGCAATTAATGTATGTTTTTCTTAGGTCATTATATTTAATATAAAGTGTTTCACTGATTCTGGTTCTAATGAACTTACTCACACAAACACAGCCGGACAGAAAAACACGTTCAAATCAGTGATGCTCAGCAACCCCAAGAGAAGAAGAATAATTGGCTCTTGCGTGGACAAACCCCTTCTCTGCGTTTTCAGGAATGATAAATACAGAGCGTACCATGAGCATCATAGTGTGAACCCTCGCTCTCTACTAAAGGTCAGAATTTTACAGAAGCTCTCTAATATATAATTAATTCTGAAATAAATGTAATAACATGGCAGGACATAGGTGACCTCCATCAAAAACGAATGAAATGAAAACACCATCAAATGCTAAAGAAGAACTACAATCAGTCAGAGCAGAATGCCCTCATAAGTACAGTAATATGGCTCCACTGTGGGTATGTGTGTGCAGTGACGCTCAGGGATCAGCTGTGCTTCCACCTCCTTTTCAGTTGTTAAATATGGGTGTGTATGGGTGTCTCCATCATTCTCTCTCTGGTGCTTTGGTAGGCTTCAGTAGTCTGGCTGGTGGCCAGAAATAGTCCCCTCAGCTGGCACACTGTCCCAATTTATGACCCATCGCATTTAGTGGAGGGCAGCCCTGCTTTGAGATGCTCAGTTCATTTCCCACAGAGAGCACTAAACTGTAAAACCGCTAAAATGCCACTAACAGTGTCAAGAAGGCAATCCCACCTATGTACCTTCTAACTATCACTGCAGACAAAAACACATCGTAACTGGCTCTGAACTTTTTTTTAAATCAGTGCTCATATTCTCCATCTGCTTTTACCCCTGAAGATGTGAGGAATGCTGACTTCTTTGGATGTGTATCATGTGTAACATGAAGAGGCAAAACTGGCCCCAAAACCAAAGCCTGCGATGCTTTTAACTGAGAGCCAAATCCAGAAGTCTGAGCCAGAGGTTTCACAGATGACTGCACACCATACCACAAAAGTAAAAATAAATGGGCTAACTATTCACATCTACAACTATTTACCAGGGACTTCTGTGCCGCAGTTTCTAGCGAGGGCCACTTAAGTTGATCAGATGGGACTTCAAAGAGCTGGGTTTGTTTCACACAAACACGCAGGTAAATTTCTCAACGTTCTGCCAAAACAAACTTGGTAGGTCACTTACCATCTGAGAACGGCTCTTGGGACATCCATTGATATCACCAATCTTCTCATTGGCTGAGGAGAGACAGAAGAGACAGAGAGACAAAAGAAGAGATAATGAGACCTCTTTTCAGGCGTGTTCACTTAATGTAATCCTCTCCTTTATCCCGATGTGTGTGTCCCAGACAGTGACAGGCTGAGTGCAGAGAGCAGAGGTGTTCATGCCAGTGACTGGGATCCCCCCTCTCCTCCTTTCCTATCCCCTCCCGCTGACACATGAAATGCTATCTGGTCATAGCAAATGGGAGTGGGGCCGTTGGGGGCCCAACCAGGAGTGTTGCGCTGCTGTGTGTGTGTGGTGTTGAGAATCCCTCCCGTCCATTAGAAGGCCCAACCCACAGCAGCTGAGACACAGCCCTCAGCTCACAGCTGACAACTGTGCTAACAGCACAGACTCCTGCATCAGGAGGCACGGTGGAGACTAGAGGGCAGCTACATGTCAGGACCACATCCTTTACACCATACAGCAGCACAAAACACTGTTCTTACAGTGAAGTGGATGGTTTTGTTTTACAATTCACATATGAAAGAAATGTGGTCAGTTTTAGTGGAAATGACGAAGACTCCTGGGATTACTGGGCTTTTATAAATAGCTCCCATTCACTTTGGACTGTGAATTAAAACTGATTTAATTTTCAGTTTATGTTAGTTAATTGGTGGTGTTATCAGGTCAATTAGGTCAACATGCAATTAGAAACTTCAACAACTCCACCCATAAAAATGTAAAACCATACTCGTTTTAAAGTCCTCCTTGGGCAACACTGCTATACTTGTAGTGCTGTAGTGCTGCTATGTATTCGCTCCATAGGAGTCAAGCTTTGACTCCTTTTACTGAAGGTCTATGGATCTCCTTCACTGTTTCTTAAGATGATGACCTTTAAGCCTGAATTTTAACTTTGGAAAAGAAGCAGGTGATGAAAAAAATTGTTTTTAACATGTTGTATATTTTGTACACACAATGGCGCACAACAGGATCCACTGCAGGTCTCGTGGTTTCTGTTCTCACACTGAAGCACCAGGACAGTCTGACCATGAAGGACAAATTCATGGTGCAAGATAAGTGAATGTTGTAAAACCCAAAAGAGCAAGCATGCTCCTGGTGGCCATACTGATCTTTGTGGAAGGACACCGATCCCGGAAGTCTGGTCAGGTTTAAAGAGCAGTTGATGTTTGTTTCCTGCCCAAGACTGAGGTCTGTGGTGAAATCACAGGGTGCTCATACAAGTGGTCAGAAGGAGACTTATAGGAAGTGATCTAGAAATAGCAGCGGCTCAGGAAGAGCTCAAGAGGTCAAGATGACCTTCAAGGCAAGGGGTTTTTCACTTTTATGAACTTGGTATTGCAGCATGTATTTGGATACCTCTCTCTATGTGCATTTAAAGCACGACATTTTCATACTGAGAATTAAAATTTGGCATGAAGCGATTCCAAAATAGTTTAGTGCTAACAAGACTATCAGTGATTTAACACTACTACTGTTGGCTTTGGTTTGTGTGCTACCTAAAATTTGCACACTGTAGACACCAACACCCACAAGAGACACGTACTGTGTGATTTTGGGACACACTTAAAACTAAAACTAAAAAACAAACTCACACAGTTTATCTTGTGAATACTGAGCAAATAAATGTACAGCTCACATTCCTGCAGCTGGGCTATACAACAGCTAGATTACTGGAGAAGACTAGAAACAGAGGACAAAGCCATATCTTAATTTTGGTTGAATTTCACCAGACAGATTACCCTCTGAAATATTCATAAAAACAACTGATGATGAAATCGATCTGGAGGCTTGTGTGAAAGTCAACCCTGACCTTGAATCTAAGCAGGTCAAATAGCTAAACAGGTGTCATATCCGGCCAGGCCTCTGAACCTTTACGGCTGTTCCAACACCAGCAAGCTGCTCTGGTTTCATCACACTATGTGGGTATGAGGTTTTCCCAGGAGACAAGAAGCAGCAGGCAGAAAGGAGGTACAAAACAGGTGAATGGATGGCTCTGGTTGGAAATGATTTAATCTGAGAGCAAAGCTGTAGCCAGCCTGGATTGCATTAACATCAGGTACTTTTTCCACAATGCAGAAACTCAGGAGCCACCTTTCACTTATAAAATTCAGCAAAACTTTCATTTCTTGAGCTCCAAAATAGTCTGAATAATCAGCTTCACTGCTAATGAATTATTTAATACTAACTGAACAAACACAAAGGAGCAAGACAGACCCTGTTCAACATGGTCCCATGTTACCCAGTCAAAACATCAAACTTTCATAAGAATAAATCATAAAAAACACGACCACATCCAGGCTGGAAAGTAGCATTAGAACAGTTCCACATTCTTGTGTCAGCATTTATGCTTGTGCATATCCCCAAAGCAATATAATGCCAACCTTGCTCTTTAGTCACCATATAGGTGTGAAAACAACTGGATTTTCCTGGAACCCTTTTAACAGACGAAGATTTGTATAACCCAAAAAGACCTATAGTGCTCATTCAGCTTTATATAGTGCCAAATTAAAACAACAGTCGCCTCAAGGTGCTTAATATTGTAAGAGACCCTAGAATAATAGAGACCCCCCCCCCAACAACCAGACAAGGCCTTATAATCAAGCACTGGGCGACAGCAGGAAGGAAAAACTAAATTTTAACAGAATGAAACCTCCGGCAGAACCAGGCTCAGGAACGAAGGCATGGACTTCATGACCTAATTTAAAACACAATCACATGCAACAACTGATGTAGTGTGAGAACAGTAAAGGTCTTCATAGCATAAAATGTACAGAATCTGGGTCAGAGACACAGGGGAGGAGCAGGGAACAGAGTCACTGACATGCTGAATCACCGGTCAGCTGGTGTTTGCCTGTTTTAGCTGCAAGGCTGCCGGCAGATGAAATGACAGGCTGAGGACGGCCAGACAAGATGACAAGACTGATGATGATGATGATTTTACAGACGAGAGCATGGGTCAAAAACACAGACGATCAGCAGTGGGTTGAACAGCTGCATACTGTGTATAACTGCTGCTGTTGAGTTATAAGCTTTCTTAATTTGATTTAGGATCATAAGACTCTTTGAGAACATAACTGAATCAAAAACATGCTTAACAACACAAACACAATACAAGACATTGGTTTGTAAAGAGTTGAGACAAGGCAAAGCACAAACTTCAGAAAGTTTAAATTTATTTGATTTATATTTATATTCACTCTTCTAACTGTTCTCCTTTCTCTTCTATACATTCTCCCAGTCTACAGACTGTAGTTCACTGACTGTCTATAAATTCATAAAAGTTTTCCTCAACAATAGTGTTTTTCTCCTGACTATTGGCCCTTTGTGGAAGTAACTACTTCAGCTGCAAAATCTACTTTATAGTTCAATATTACATTATATAATAGAGTAAAATGGTTTAATCTTATCACCTCAACAAAAGATGAGTTTGTAGTTAATGATGATGTTTGCAAGCGACCATTTATTTGGTAAAGGTCAGCCGTATCTAAACAAGTAATGACGTGGCTCGCATTTTTCTCCAGCAGTCACTTGATCAGAGCTGGCTTCTTCCAGCAGGGCCTGGAATCAGAAGTTGGTTTCCTTACCTACGACCTGTATGATCTCAGCCAGCAGCACTCCGTCCGTGACATCTGTTTGCAGGTCCTTGATCAGACGCTTGTGTCCTGACTTGGCGAGGTAGTGGTTGGCCCAGTCCGTGTAAATCTGCGGTCAGACACAAACACGAGCACGGTGTTTCAGTTACGTGCCAACAAAAATAAAATTCTGTCCAAAAAAAAGGGCCGACCCTGTCAGGTCGCCCATGTGTTTCAAACTCCATAAACACTTGAAAAACTACAAAAGCTATAAATGGATGAAGCAAATTTACGACTAATAAAATAACAGCATGCTTGAATGGGAGCAGAGTAGCCCTCTTTTCTTTTGTTGGGGGCTCCGATCTGGCATATATCCGCGTGGTATTCAAATTGGGGCCATTGTGCTCAGCCAGGGCATTCATCTCGGAGCACACGGCGGCTGTTTTCAATGGGCCATGCTGACATCACTCTCTGGGGACAGAAAAGACCCTTCACTGCCTGGGGGGGAGGAGAGGACATGGGGGAAGGAGGGGGGTGTTGGTAGAGAACGCATCTGAATAATCTGAATAGCTTCCCTCATAATTAGCTGCAAACTCTCTTTTTTTTACTCCCTCTGTGATCATAAGAAGTGAGTCTCTCTTTCTGAGGAGGTAAAAAAAATGAAGTGGCTGAAGAGAAGTTGTGCAGAAGGGTATTCCTAAAAATGAAGGAGATGTTTTTTAAGAAATGGATGTGTCATCAGCCCATCTTGATATGCAGCAATGTCAAGCTTGTCTGTAAACTGCGCAGTCTCTGTGTGATAAGTGCAACATCAGAGGAGCCCAAAGGGATTTGAAACATGTGCTTCTAAATAAAGACACCTCTCACTCCATGTCTCACTCTTGTATTCATACAAACTCAGGGACCTGCAGTCCACTAAGACATGACAGGGAAGTGTCAATCAGCATGTTTAAGTAACTGTCAGCTTTCTGCAGTAATCTCATTTCACTAGCTGGCTTGACAGCGTTTTTAGTGGATAAAGGTGAATGGCTTAAACATGAATTGAGCTGGGGTTTGGGGAAGGCCTCAGAGGGAACTGGCGGCGGCTCCCAAGCCTGGCAGAACAAAAAGCTTGTAGAACTGGGGTATCCATATATAAATAAGAACCGGAAGGGGCGTGTTTGGAGGCGTGGTCCCGGTCCTGAAATTCAGGCACTTTAACTCCAACTCTTTGTTGCCAAGTAAACTAGAAATCCAGCTTCAGTGATTGGATCCTCAATCTCTTAAACTCAGCTTGGTGTACCCCTCAAACTGATTTTCAGACAGATGTTCCTTCTCTGCTTTGTACAAAGTTTATGCTTTTGATTAATCTTTCTTTTCCACAGAAGAAAATAATGATTAGTCAGGCTGACAGATTCTTGTATTAAGATAATGGGATGCAGGTCAAACACAAAGTAGTTTCTGCTGGCATAAATGTCAAATTCCAAAACTGATTGATTTACAAAATCCAGACACACAAGCAAGCAAACTTCATCAGTACACACTTCACTGTGAAATTCAAGTCTATCTGTCAGTCCTCAGTGAGTGCATGGCATTGTAAAGGTCAAGCCTAAAAGCACATGCTTGAGGTGACGTGTGTGGCACAGTTGTGACCCGTCTTTCTTTGAATTTGCACTGTAAACAAACCTGAAGCTTTTCTGCCTCGACAGATGAATCACTGCCCTCATGAAGTCTTACAACAGGTGCGAGCACTTCAAAAAGATTCATAAACACGCACATCCGTACACTCATCATCACGCACAAGCTCAAACGCAAAAGGTTTACGATGCAAACACACGACCACACATTAAATACAAAGCGCCTCGGAGCGACATTTTGAAATTACACGGGCTGCATTCCCAAACACAAACGCACAGTTACAACAAAAAAGGTTCTGAGTGACAGGCTGAACTAAAAAAAGCCTTTAAGCTGCTGGATTAGACGATCCATTCACACTCTCAGCTGGTTGTGGAAAAAAGGAAGTGCAATCTTGAAGAGCTTTTGTGTGAATGTGCAAGCGCTCTTTGAAGTAGTTTTGGGCAGGTAAATGGAGGGCTTGGATTGCAATTAAAAACGAGGTGAAATGGGTAGCTGTCATTCACGGAGCTGTAAACCACAGGGGAGGTCAAATGGCCCAAGGGCAAGTGGAGAAGGGGGTATGGGCTTGTCGCAAGGGTAGAGATAAGTTAGCAACAGGTTCCTTTTAAGTCCCGAAAGAGACAACTTTTCAAAACACAGTTTATATCTCTGATGTTTCCAACTCGGGCAGCTCAAGCTTCAAATGCAACAGGTAAAAAATTTCATTTTAAAGAAAGGCTTGATGCAACTTAGTGCTGCTTTCAAGAAGCAAACTTCACAGTGACCACAGGGATTTTGATCAAAAATAAACATTTTGAACTGAAGCAAATAAATATTTTAATATATATGTGAAAGGTCTAACTTGCAATACAACTTCACAAAAACACCACCTGGAAGAGACCAAAACAGAGATAAAAGGATAGCGAATACTGAACTTACATTCACCATGTCAACAGAAACTCAATTAAGCATTAATAACAGGGCCATCCACAGTGATGCATCATTTGCTTCAAGTTTCACCCCGCTGCTGTCCAACTGAATCAGTCAACATAAGTCAGATGCATCTACATCAAAGACCTCACTCATAACTGGAACTTTGAAATAAACAGGAAAAAGAAAGAATGCAATAATGGGAATCATGTGTGGTAAACCACACATTTATTGGAGCTTCTGTGATCTGGAAGTTGCTTAAAGAAAAAGTGATGGGTGATGAGAGGCAGACATCAGATCTGGGAGGCAATTTAACAGGCTGAATACTTAATGAAGAGAAGTATTAATTCCATATTGATTCAATATCCATCTATCAAACACAGATGAGATACAACAGATTCCGGTTCAGTCTTTAATTTAAACCACTGTTAATAATATATAGACAATTTAATCACTAAGCAGATAAGAAGATAAGCAGTTAACATTATTAAACGGGACAGTCCCGTGGCATTATTGGCATTTCTGTGTGTAGCTGGTCACTGAACACACAGTACACATACCGTACCTGAAAACAAAACATTTCAAGTATCAAAAATCTGTAACTATTGATTTCTAATTTTTAAACATTTATGTTTTTTATTTTACTTGTAAAATCTTTGGTAAGGTCAGGGGTCAAATATGACATGATATTTGGATGCAATCTATAATGTGATATTTAGAATCCCCATATACCAGTATCATTCCCAATACCGCCAGTACAAACAAAGACACTTATTTTTAAATAGCTCTATATCACTTTGAGCTGATCAGGCAAATCTATTGACTTTAAGGGAAATGTCAGAGGTCAAATGTGAAATATTTTAAATTTACCCCCCACCTGTAAGAATTATAGTTTCTAAGTTAGAAGGTTCTTGTCCATTTCAGACCAATAACTCACTAAGTGGAGGACCTGAAAGCATAACCTATTGTGGATGTCCTCTGAATACATCATTTATAATACTTGAAACAGGGACTTATCATGAAATAAAATACAAATTACACTGTTCCATAAATATGAAAGTATTTACACCAACATAATGACTTACATGTTCTGTATCTCTGGTACATGTATCTGTTAATATCATGAAAACGATCTTGTTAATAACTTTACTTCCCTTGGAAGAACATACTTCTCTTATCTTCCTCACCAGTACCGTCACAACCATATGTCAACAACACTGTGGCAGTCGGGGATCCATAACATGCAGATGCATCTTCTAAGATGGAAAATCCCCCCATTACCCCCTGATGGTAATGGGGGTCGTTTTAGGAGTTGTAAGTTGGAGCTGTGGTAAGGGACGTTCCCATCATCAGAGAAAGCAACATGACACTGACTCATTCACAATGTCACGGACTTACAGAAACTGTAAAATGTGGCCTATCAATTCTACTGACATTTTGCTTTGGGAATATGTCACCTCCATAAACCAAATCTGGGCCTACCGGCAGTTTGCATCTTTCTTTGATATAACAGTAACAATTAGCAGCGCAGTCTGATGGTATTTGGAGAGTTACAGATATCTACTGTTTTTGCCCTGGGCTTAAGGACCCTGGATTTGAAACTACAGAAAGACATTGAGATTGGAGTTGGAGTGTTAACCATCAGAATCACTTAGACACTGTGTCCATCCATCATGTAGAAGTGGTAATCACCAGACGCCCCATGTTACGATATTATCATGATACTTCATTCTAGATATTATTGCAATTTCTAACATTTTGTGACATTCTGAGTATTGGAACAACAAACTGTTATTTATTACCTTTTTCAACTTGGTTAAACTTTGTCAATATTTGTTTTAATTAGACTCAATAAGATTAAGTTATCTCACTTCAGTTATTTGTTTTCTGCTGCAACACTGAAAGCATTTCAAGCACACCAACACTGAAACCTGACATAAATGCTGCCATTATACAGTCAGTCTGGTATCAGTGTGCAATTGTATGGAGTCTACAGTACATTTTCTCTTCATCGCTTGCCATTTAGTCAAAAGATTCTTTCAACAGTGAGCCATGAAAGCCTGGACCTAACTGCATCATCGTGCTCACATAATAATAATGTTCCCTTTAAGGCTTAAAATTGGAAAAGCATCAGTTCTTCAAAGCCTCTAACAAACATTGATGAGTCATTCAGACTGCTGCATCTTTCCTTTTTTTTTGTCTTACAGAAACGCACAGATCTGCTTCACATCCAGCATCCCTGCTGCCTCAGCTTGCTGAGTCACCAAGCTGGTGTGGGATGCCTACAGAAGGGCATGACGCACACAGGCCATCCCTGCAGTGCTCGGTTGGCCCTGTCAAATAGAAGTTGAGGGCAGCCAGAGCCTCACACTGGGAAGTGTGCCCTCAATTTGAAGGGCACTTTCTGAAAACTGAATAGTTCAGATGCATAAGTTTGGCAAATGTCACTCGGCTGAGGACAGAAGGAGGAGACAGACTGATGTGTTTGTGTACTTCCTGCGGGCATGTTTGCTTATTTCAAACTCTGGAGCAAACACTTTTTATTTCTTTTGCTCTTTTATCTCTGTTGTTTGCACTCACTCACTTGAGAAATGATAACTTGTTCACTAAAGTAAACACTGCACTCTATCTAATCTGATGCTTGTCCTCACTCTGCTGCAAGTGACTTTTTTAAGTACCTAAAACTTGGTTATCAACCGTTTTTCTGATCATATTCAATTGAATTGAATTCAGTATTATTTATATAGCACCAAAATTACAACAGCAGCCGCCTCAGCACACTTTACTACACATACTGTAATGTGAAGACCCTACAATAATACAGAGAAAACATAACAATCAGACAACACCTCTGATCTGAGCAAGCACTTGGCAAGAGTGGAAAGGAAAAACTCCCTTTTAACAAGAAACTCTCCATCAGAACCAGCCTCAGGAAGGGGCAGACATCTGTCAATGCAAGTGATGGATAAATGTATAAATGCAGAGAGAAGAATAAGAAACACTCAGTGCATCATGGGAAGCTGTCAGCAGCCTGGGCCTATTGCAGCGTAACTTTGTTTCTAGTGTTTGCATGTTTAAGGACCGTGGGAAATTTTAGCTAGCAATGGACAATCATCAATAAAATTCTATACCAAATTATTGTTATATTATAGTTAATGGAATTACAGTAAACATACTAAAATAACCACACAGCTATCAGGCTTCCCCTACACACACACTAAAAAACTGTCAGTACTTTTTGTTTAATTTGCGCATTCCAAAAACAGAAGCGTCTAATTTTACCACATGGGTTCAGCAATATGCTCAAAATGTTTTCCTGGCATTTTGGATTTGTATATTTTTAGTTTGGTGATAATGATGCGTTTCCTTTTTTTTCCAACCGCAAAGGTTTTCGAATTGTTTCATAACAGAGAGGTGTGTTAATTTTCTCTACTTGTCGAGGACCATTTAGTCTTTCCACTGAAGTTCAAGTGTAAAAATCACAAACCAGCCGCAATATTTCTCACATTTTCACACGGCATTAAACCACAACACCTGAGGTCTGTCCTTCGAAGCACAGTTCTCACATACGTCGATGGCGCAGCAACAATTATGTTGATAACTTCAGGACTATTACCCTTATTACTTTCAGGGTTCAGTAAGCAACCTAAAAAGCGCTGTGCTTAACACGCCATTATGAACTAATCTACCAACATGAGCAAGAACTTTAAGGAGAACGCAGCAGGACCAAAGCTGCCATAAAGTGCTATCTCTCACAAAAAGCTTTCATAGGGAGCCAGGACTTAAACAGCTCTTGTTATAATTCAGGTAATGGCCCTGAGTGCTGAGTCTACAAAAGACATGCTCTGATAACAATGCTTTCTTCTACCTTTTCAAAAGAAATCTACCTCGTCAAACACAGACCAACCTAAGTTGAAGGCCTCTTCCTGTGACTATTTAGGGGTTTATAAGGCAAAACTAAATCCCAGCACTGAGACTCCATTCATTTATTAAACTCGTAGCATACCCATTTCGGTAAGGAGGAATCTATTATAATTCCATGCTGTTCCTGGAGATCAGTTTCTACCCCTGACATGTCTATTTCAAGCTGACCTTTCCTCTTGCACTCTCTCCCCAGTCTGCCTTCTTAAATCCCGAAGTAAATGCATACTCTCTATCATTTCTTATGTTGTTTTATCTTCACCAAAAGGTAGATAAGTATTTTAAAAAAGCTTTCATGACACCCTGACAGTCTCAGTGCATTAAGTACTCCCTGGTTTCTTACCACTTTGTAGGCTTCACAGGAGAAGCGGCTGTAGCTTCTGGCTGGCACCCTGAGCCCGCTGTACCCCGCCATGTGGGGCCACCAGGTCGATAAACACGAATATCTGGGTGAAGATAACTTCAGATTTTGAAGATCCTTTAGCTTCAAAAAGACCAAAAGATAAGAGCACTTCGTGCGCACTGGAACAGATAAGTGGTCATGCTGTGTGCCCCCCCTCACACACACACATCTCTGTGACAACGTCTGTCTGGCTTGCTTGTAGGAAAGGGGCATGCTTTATTCCTCCATAAATGTAGTTCTCTCTTATCTCACCGTGTTTTAGTCAGCTTCATAGTGACGTCTCAGACAGTCTGACACTCTTTTAATCTTCCTCTCCTTCTGCCTCTCTCCCTCCCTCACTGTCTGTCATTCACTGAGTCAGACACCTTGACTCAGTTCCTTCTTCTGCTACGAGTGGAGAAACTGTCAAAAGAAAACTAACTTAGAAACGGAACCTTTTATGTTTAATACTTGAGAACTGTGTTAGGGAGGATTGCTGTGTTTGGAAAAGACAAACAAGACAAAAACCCAAAACTCCAGTGTGAAAGACCGTTAACTGTCAGGCTTTCCCTACATAAGTTACCTACAATATCAGTGGCCCAACCTGCATATAACAGTTCTTCAATTAAGCCGTGTCTTCTGTTGTACTAGGGGAACATAAATGGTGCTGATTCAGGCAATGAGAAAGAAATCCGATTCTGAAGTTTCCTACTGTACGTGGTGCTTCAAAGCACATCGTTGCTCCCTGTGTCGAAGACAGATTATATAAACATGATGGATGTCTTTGCTCCTCACATTTAATGACAGGACTCTTTAGTGACCTTCATGCACACCTGGTGCTGTACTTTACAGCAGGCGCACGCACGCACACACACACACACACACACACTCAAATACAAACACAAAAATACGGTTGGTCTCAGGTGTCAGGGGTGGGCTGTGCTACTTCCCAAATCCAGCCATCATCTTATGTCATCAGCAGTGTGCTGCTTCACATTCACAAAGGGACCTCACACCTTACAATGTCACTAAAACAAATACAAACTTCAAGTGTGGGTCTCAGAGCAGCTTCACTAAAGAAACTCTCCATGCTTTGCTTAAGAAAACACATATCTGCACTGCAATGTGCTGCCTTCTACGGGCTTTTAATCTGATGACTTCTAGATCGTATTAAAATAAATAAAGACAAATACATCCTCCAGTTTTCTCTAACATTAAAGACTTTTTGTGGGACAGCACGGTGGCGCGGTGGTTAGCACTATTGCCTCACAGCAAGAAGGTCGTGGACTTGAATCCACATCCATCTGGCTAATTCTTCTTCCAAATACATGTGGGGTTAGGTTAACTTAGTATTCTAAATTGCCCATAGGTGTGAATGTGAGTGAGAATGGTCGTCTGTCTCTCTGTGTTAGTCCTGCAAAAGACAGACGACCTGTCCAGGGTGTACCCCACCTCTTGGCCTGTGGCAGCTGAATTATGCTCTAGTGATATAACATGGATGAATACATGCATTTAAGATTTCTCTTTCCCACTTTTTCCAAAGTAAAGGATGACCTCTTTAACACCCTGAAAAACTACTTAGAAAACGTATTTTTGTGGGTGACCCCTCCTGCTGCCTAGACATGCTGAGCCATATCGATGAGGACTCAGCATCCCTCCGTGCTGCTGCAGGCTGAGGGTGACATGTGGCAACACATCCCCTCTGACCCATTCTGGGCTGGCTAGCAGATGGCTGGTGGGAGATGATGGATGGACTGAGTCACTTACACAGCAATCAAGAAGTGAGGGGTGGGAGTGGTACATAGGGGCATCCTACTTACCCAACAGTGGTATATTTTTCTGTCACTTCTGACACAGTCTCAACAACATTCACTGTGAATGCAGGAAACTTGCTTGTCTTAAAAAAAAAACAGAAACACAGCACTGGGCAAAGGGAATTCTCTGCACAGCTCTCAGTGAGCACTAGCAGACACAAACAGATGGCTTCTGAGAAAACAAGCATCACAAAGGTGTCCTGGTCTGACAGAAATGACAACAGTCTGCTCTACCAGCTGCTGTGCCATGCCCTGCGCTCTAACACTGAAATTTTCAATGCTTGACCAGTGGGTGGTCAAACAGACTTTCCATAGCAACACTTTATGATGTACTATAACTACAAAACTAGAGGCGAATGCAAGCTTGAGTCAGGGAAGCAATTCAAGAAAAAAAATCAAGAAAAAGGTATATAATACTAATAATACAAATAGTTTTATATGTATTTATCTTTATCTTATTTCTTCTTTTTAAAATAATTATTCTTATATACCAGACAGGTTGCAGTGACGATACTATGAACAACCCCTGAAATTACCTGGAAATAGCAGTAAGTTTTCCCCTTTCCAAACACAAGCCATTCAAACACAAGCCTTCTAAATGTCTAAACATTCCTTTGCTACAGTGGAAAAAGTTTACTGGGTGTCTTTCCCATCATCCGTCCTGACAAACCAAACATAAATGTTTTAAAGACGGAGTACGAGGTGCATGTTCTTCATACAGTAATCCCACCAAACCAAAAACAAACAAAAACAGCACAAAGGCATTTGTGCTGCTTTCTTTTTCTCTCCTCTTCATTAAAAGTGTATCTGTGGCTGCAGCTTTTCCTTTGGTGTCATGAGCAGGATACACCATGGTTAGTTCATGGTCTGTAAGGCCCTTGGCAGCGATCCACTCCATGCCAGTGTACTCACACTGTCCTCTCAAGTGGCTTTAACCCACAGAAAACTGAACCAGGCCAGCTTTAAATAAGCCCTCGTGCCTTTGCTTACTCTCTGTTTGGCACATGAAAGACATGTGGCTTTGTGAGGCATGGAGGCCATACTAGGCACATGTAGACAAACGACTTGGCCAGAGCTGTGCTGTTAAGAAGATAGGAAACAGGGCCAAGAGACGGAGTGAGTATGTGCTGGCACCTGTACTTGTCAAAAGTGATCTGAAGACCACGGGCTGAAAAACATCATCAACTAATCGATAAAAAGAAAAGAGCATTTGCATCCAGCAGCGAGATCTGTGAATGTACAGAAAGGTTCTTCCAGCATATGAGAGAGAAGTGAATCATGAGTACGTCAAAATTCCCCAAAGTCGTGCACAGCTGAGACGGCACAGCAGTGTCTGCTACGCAACATGTAATCAACATCAATTTTGAGACATGCAGCCTGATGCACATGAGGGCACAGCAGCTGTTATAAAGACAATTTTGGTAGTGATGTTAGAGCGAAACAGCTTCATCGTGGTCCTTGAAAATCAGCAGATATATGCAGCATCTGAGGTGTGAGCTCCAGAACTCTACAATACCACTGCTGTTGTTTTAACTCTCCTGCATTTGGAAAAGCACTTATCCACCATACGATTACTTTTTAAGCCCTGTATAATGTATATTCAACCTTCAATCTTTATACCTTTGAGTCTGATGTTAAATTCCACAGCTTTTTCAGTTCAAAATTGGCCAAAGATTGCTGCTGCTTTCACATCCTTCTATTCAACCAAATGTTTGGGTGCATTATGGTTACAGTGCATGCCATGTACCTGTGATTTCTTAGGATCAGCCACTTGACTTTATCAAATGCAACTAAGTACATCAGTTTTTAAAAGGAAAAAACAGATGTGCTTTGAGTTTACTTACATGCATTTTCAGAGAAGAATAATTTAAGAAGGGGTAGGTACGGCATGCCGTGGGTGCGGTGTGCTATTGAGAGCTTGAGTGTGTCATGCATGGGTATAGCCTTGACGGTGTAGAACATCACAACTATTTGCGTAACTGAAAACAAAAACATGGTTTTACTCCTCTGCATATGCTGGCATGACTCAGGATCAGTATTAAGCACATCATTCTCGCATTTTGATTTATGCTGCATGGGTCACACATCGACAAAAGAATCTTGACAATCAAATAATCAATAGACCTGTTCTATAACAGAGAGAACTATGGACATCGACTATACTTCATAATAAAAAGAAAGGTCATTTTAATTTCTCTAAGTGTGTGCACATGTTGGGCTGTGCGTGCCTTTGTCAGCCCCACTCTATTTCACAAAGGCACATGGAAAAGACACAATCCCCCTCCTCATTTGAGTTGTGTGTAGGTTAGCAGTGTGTAATTAAGCTAGCCCTCTTATCAGCTCATCTCAAGGCTTTGGCAATAACCTCCTCTGCTTCCATCTCCCCTTCCTCTCTGGGCTCACAGGAGATCCAGATAAGGAACAAGGCTGAAAAAGAGAGAGATGTGGAGAAAGACAGAGAAAAGAAAAAGAGTGTGTTCTGGCCGCTTCCGTTACGTGTAAACTCAACAGGATGCCTATTATCCTAACAGACTTTTATTAAATCTGCTGCTTCCTACTTTTATCATATACATCAGTCATTACACAGACCCTCCCCCCCCCCATTTGTTTGCACCACAGGACCCACCTGCACCTGACCGGACCTGTGTTTTATCTCACTGTCCCAGATGCTGTTGAATATTTACCATCTCTGTGCCATCATACTTATATGACACCAAACAGTAGGCAACAAAGCCGCAAGCAAACCTGATTTTTTCCCCCCTTAAATGCTATAAAGGGGAACACATACACACACACACACACACACACACGCACGCACACAAATGTGCTACACAACTCAGTTTAAAGCCTTAGATAAGCCTGTTTTAACTTTCCATGCAGACATCAAAGTGAAGCTAGTATCAGGTGAGGGGAAATCAAGATGCATGCCTTCAGCATTTTCTTCTGATATTAAAACGACCGCCACTAATCCACTGTGTGCGTGCAAGCTAACACTAGCTGCGGTAAGGTTTTGGACTGATGAGACAAGCACTTTTACTGACACATAAACACAAAGTGAAGAAAAAAATGTTCTGATGTTACAGCTTCAGGGAAGGACGTGAATAGAAAGAGCTGTCAACAACAGAGAGAAGCCTACATACTTTTCTATATGCACAGTCAAGAACTGAAATGCATGGTTTTCTGATTTCATATGGGTGGTTGACCTTTGTCACGATCTGGAAGTGTTCACCCTACCAGTTTCATGGTGAAATTGTTCTGCTCCCAGCGGCAAAACATCACACTCATGTTACGTCGTGCAGTTTCCTTCCTCAGAGACACCTGCCTCACACTGAGGAAGACTGTTGCTTGCCCAGCCAAACCAAAATATCAGCCATTTGTAGCAGGTCTAGAACAACCTGCACTGAGCAGAGCTGTAGCAAAATACAGAAAAATCCACAAATTAAAAAAGAATCCAATTGCAAGTTTGAATCCCGACTGGGTGCACCGTTGGAGATCCAGGGAGAACAGAAGAGCTACTGCTTGCTGGAGCCCCAGCAGGTCTCTGTATGCCTGGGAGGGGGGGAAGGAGCTCAGTCCCTCCAGTTTCTCTCCACCCACTCTGGGACATAGGAGGAGGGAAAAATAAAGGCAGGAGGTGAAAGGCAAGAGGCGCTCCGCGGCTTCTGCTGCCGCTCTGAGAGGCAGCCAAACCAAACGCGGTGGAGAAGAAGCAGGAGAGGATTCCCCCTCATGCTTGGCCCACAGCAACACATTGTGCTATTCCTCTTCAATGGACTATTGGTCATATGGGGAGGGGACAGCAAGAGAAAGGGACAGGCCTCTTAACCTTTCTACCACCCCTCCCCCGACAGTCTACCCCATACATGACAAAAAAGTGAGCACAAAAGACAAAAAAGGGATGATCGGTGCAGCCTTGATAGCAGTGGAGAGAATAAATAGTGAGAAGTGCAGAGCCAAAGTCCAAACCACGTAAAGCTCAATGCTAACCGTAAGTTTTCTATTTATTATTTCTTTAACCGGCTCCTCTGCTGCCTGTTAAATTTTTTTTTTTTTTAAAGCCAAGTTTTATTTTTCCCAACCATAGAAGGAACAGTCCGCTCTCTGATCAGCCGTCACCCGCAACACACTGCAGCAGCTGCATGTGTTTATTTATGTGCATGCGTACAGTGGGTTCATAACCTAAGCATTTATGTATGTGTGAGTGTGTATGTAAGAGTCCACAGTACAGGATGCCCTGCGTTTGAGCGCGTTCCAACCCCCTGTGCACACACGCCGCAACCACCGACCACAAATTACAAGCTGAATTTGAATTTTGGGAAAGGCCCAAGATTTACAGAAAGTTCCCACAGTAGGGGGATGCCTGATCGCTTCCAGCAGGCGGAACAAAATGCTTTAAGCTTTATGAAACAACAATAACACTGAAACCATGAAGACAGTAGAAAGTAATGAAAGAAAGGGTTTGCTTTTCAACGGCATTTTATACTGCCAAAAAAGAACAGAGATGCAGCTTACAGCCGTCCAAGGCAGGTTTTCTACTCGGTGACTGAGAGGAAATGTGCATTTTATGTTTTCATATTCAGAGCTCAAAAGCGCCGTAAACTTGAAGTCAACACAATCAACTGTCAGTGGCTTTCAGTTAAAATATATTACTCTGTACATGATTGAGATTCAAGTTTTGACTTGACCCTGTAATTGTGTTTGTTCCTTGCTAGTGATAGTGACACCCATCACAAGTGTTGTGCATAAAGAAAAAAGAAAAACAACAACTGAAAAATCATGACAATAAAACTGAGGGTAGCTAAAGACTGAATTAAATATCAATATGTTATTCAAATCACAAAGTTAATAATCTTATTTTAGTGCGTTAGCATGCAATGAAGGCAGCACAGTGGCACGGTGGTTAGCACTGTTGCCGCACAGCAAGAAGGTCCTGAGTTCAATTCCAACATCAGGCCGGGATCTTTCTGTGTGGAGTTTGCATGTTCTCCCCGTGTTTGTGTGGGTTCCCTCCGGGTACTCCGGCTTCCTCCCACCGTCCAAAGACATGCAGCTTGTGGGGATAGGTTTAGGAGTGAATGTGAGCGCAAATGGTTGTCTGTCCCTGTGTGTTAGCCCTGCGACAGACTGGCGACCTGTCCAAGGTGTACCCCACCTCTCGCCCTATGACAGCTGGGATAGGCTCCAGCGACCCTGAAAAGGACAAGCGGAAGCAAATGGATGGATGGAGCATGCTAATTTACCATTTGAAGGCAGAAATATGTATGCTAACAGCCATTAAAACTGTGACTTCACAGACCAAAAGTCAGCCTGCAGCACAATGATGCCATTACTATAGAAGTAAAAGGCTCGAGATACATGTATTTCTATAAGGATAGCTATCTATAGCCCCTAGTCCAGCTTAATGGGTTAGCTAACAAAGGCAAAATGGCTAACGCTAAAGCTATCTTGAATCCAGAGTCAACCTAGGGTCAAAGCACTTAGGAGGAAAATTATAGAGGTGAATGAAAAATTGAACAGAGTCTATGTCCCGTCTTCTGAAGCTACCGAAAATTACGTTAATAACTTATAGCAGATTTTCTTTGGTAAGTTCAAATATGTCAGGTAAAGGTGGGTGTACAACGGCTCATTTTCATTTGATTATTTATCAATGAAAATAATAGTAGCAGAGCACTTTGTTTTCAGTATTTTAGTGACAGAAGAACCTGTAATAGACTGCAGTTTGGGGGAAATTATCAACTTTAATACTTTCTTTTATTATGAAAATAACATTTTGTATCAGAAAAAGCTGTCAATTTTAGCTCTTAGAAAGAAAACTGAAAATCGAAAAAAAAAATTGGAATTGTTGCTTCTCTAACAAATTGTTAGAAAGTTGCTGATTGCTTTTATGTTGTTCATGAAAGAAAAGGAACTGAATTTAGGGGATATGGACACACACTGACAGTACTTTAGCAAGTAGCTGCACCAACATGTTAAAAATGTTCATGTTGGATTTGTAGCTTTTTAGCTGATTGTTCCTATTCTTTAAACAGGCAAAAACACTGCAGGCATCCTGCCTTTTCTATGCTATAGTTCAAGTGATAACCACCACAAAAGAAAAGCCAATCAACACAGCCTCCCACACCACTGAAACATCAGTCTCCTACTACACGTAACTGGCATTGATTTAATGATATTCTGGCTCTACAAGCAGAGAATGTGTCAGCATTTAGTGCTTCTGTTTAACTGTTTTAGTCCAAGTCTTCAACAAGCTCATTAAGTGAAGTCACAGTGAATGGGCTGAGTATGGTCCTTTCACAGTCCCAGATAAACCTTAGTGTGTCGGGGACAATGGGGATAACCCCATCATGGAAGGGTCTTTGTTTTGGGGGACCCAAACCTCTGTGTTCTCAAAGCCTGGGGAGGAAGACTGCCATAATAATGGGGGTGAAGGGGTGGGATGGACCTGCTGCCTGGCTGTGCTGTTCTGGATGGAGGTGATTTGGGGGTGGGAGGGATTGAGGTACATACGGACTTACTGGAGAGGCAGCTGTGGAAATAACGGCAGATTATATCCTTTCTCTCTCTATAGCTTTGACATTGTCTTGTGTCTAAACAAACTAAATACCTAAAGGTTATTGCAGGTACAAAAATTAGGTAATCACGCATCATTCATTTTTTCTACTTCTTCTTCTGCAAATAAGTGAGTAAGATAGGACACTACAACCTAAGAGTGGTGGACAACTTGACACCTGGGAATGTTAAGGAGATTAAATCTCAGAAGTGAAGTCAGTGAGACACTTGCCTATGCTACACAAACAAAGCCCTTAATATAATCAGAAGCAAAGGTATCTTGAGGAAGTAAAATGTCTTTTTCAAAAAAACATTTTTTTTAACCTAAATTCAGCTTTTAAAGCACTGTCATGTGGACAGATTAACTCTTTGATGGCAGAAAATGGCATGAATGTGTGCTGGGGTGGCTGTAGCTCGGGAAGTGGAGCAGGTCATCTATTAATCAGAAGGTTCGAACCTTGGCTGCTCCGGCTTGCATGTCAAACTATCCTTGGGAAAGACACTGAACATGTTGCTCTATGATGATTCACATTCTGATGATTTCATCACAGCGTGAATGATAAATAGAAAACACTAGAAAAAAGTGTTTATAGGAATGGATGAATGAGACATGTTGTGTGAAGTGGTCTGAGTGCTTGAGTAGAAAATCTATATAAGAACCAGTCCATTTACCATGTCTCCCCACAGTAAGACACCATACAGGCAGACAGATGTAATATCTGCTGAGCTTTAAATGAGTATTAACTACAGTATCTTACACATTTACTACTTTCAATTGTTGAATTTAAGGGTATGACGCAAGCATAAGAAAATTACATTTATAACATATTAACTGGGCACAGTGCTGCACTCAACATAATGTTAAACTCACCTTCAGTTTGTTCTGCTCGTATAAAGCAAAGAAAATGTTATTACAGTTGTCTGGTGTCCCATTACAAACCTGATTAGAACAGTTTGGATCCAAGGATGCCATCTGGGCCCATCTACCACAGCTACCAGCTGAGGCCACCTTAGTGATGTCTTATTGA